GACCAAAAGGTCACAGGTTCAAATCCGGGTAGTGGTGTGAGCTCCTGCTGTTAGCCCCAGCTTCTGCCAACCTAGCAGTTCAAAAACATGCAAATGTGAGTAGATCAGTAGGTACCACTCTGACAGGAAGGTAACGGTGCTCCATGCAGTCATGCTGGCCACATGACCTTGGAGGATAACGCTGGCTCTTGGTTGGGCACCAACCCCCAGAGTTGGACACAACTGGATTTAATGTCAGGAAAAACCTTTACCTATACCATTTCATTCTTTATTAAAACATGTAGTTGGTACATCATTTACTTACATTTACTGGGTGTTGTTGATAGATTTTTCTTTTAAAAGATCTGACTGATGCAATGTCTGAGCAGTGTCTTCCCTTGGTGGGGGCTGTCCAACTGGAAAGCCATTTTGAAATGTTAGACAAAATGTTCCATGGAATGAGGTGATGTGATGATTTTTGAACAGAAAATTCTATTCCTGCAAAGAAATGTTATTTCTTGGTGTATATCATTTTATTACTTGTGTAGAAAAATATTTGTTTCTGTGCAGAAAATGCTGACTTCTGAGGAGACAATGCAGCACACACACACAAATTGTGTGCAGATTTTGCACAGAATAAATTACAAACTATTTCCCGTCTTCAAAAGTGATGCAATTTTCAAAACTCTCTTGCACTGGGGAAAAGTGGACAAAATTGTAGTTGCTTCTGTCATGGAGCCTTCTCCAATCCGGCCTGCTCTGTTTCTCCCTTCACCACTTCCTTCTGGAATAAAGTTAGGAATTAATTCTATCTCCAGAATGGAATAGAATTGAGCAGTGGCTCTCAACCTGTGGGTCCCTAGGTGTTTTGACTTCCAACTCCCTGAAATTCCAGCCAGTTTACCAGTTGTTAGGATTTCGGGGAGTTGAAGACCAAAACATCTGAGGACTCACAGCTTGAGAAACAGTGGAATTGAGCATTGTCTTTTCCTTTGTCAAAAGCCAAATATGCTTGCAATTACCTCAAAGCTTAGTAACACCTACAAAGTGACAGACACATCCTACTTTCCAAAGAAGGAAGGAAGGAAGGAAGGAAGGAAGGAAGGAAGGAAGGAAGGAAAGAAGGGGTAGCATGGTGGCCAGTGATCCTAACAGTACTGGTGCCCACTTCTAAGACTACAAGTCATTGCCTTCTTTTATGAAAATTGTTGTCCGGGCATTAAGAGCCACAGAGAAGAGCACCACACCATTACCTGGGCCAGCCCAGACATACATGCAGAAGGCCAAATTCCTGGCCTAAAACAAAGGAAGTCACAAAAGGTATCATATCGATAGATACATAAATATGTGAGCTGATCCCTTACCATATTTAGCTAGAAATAGGCCTATGTATACATATTTAGAATTGTATTACTAGAGTGGGCTATACTTCTTTCCCTTTCCTTCTAGAAAATGTTTGGGAGAGGTATTTCTATGTTTGGAAAAGGTGATGATGATGATGACAATGATGATGCTGATGGTGATGTTGAAAATGGTAGAAGAATCAATCCTCTGGTAAGGAGTAATCTGTTTTGCTTTTGGGGTTATTCATGTGAACCTTGAGATTATGAACACTATCATGCAATATTGCTGTATGGATTCACAACATAGCATTACAGATCTGTAACTGGTTTGTAATCACTAATGCTACGCATAATTGGCCTTCCACATATGCAGATTGAACTTTTAAGCATTTGATTAATTTCAGATTTAACTAATATGTTGTCTCTAAAAATGTCTAGATTCTCCAGCATGACTCTGTGGTCAACTTCCATGAGATGTTGACCATAAAGTCAAGATGGAAGGCCTAGAGATTCCCAGAAAGGTTTTCTCTTAGATTAAAAAAAAATAATGGTCTCCCCACTTCCACAGGGGCCCTGCATCCCTAACCCCCATGAAAGTGGGGCCTGCTGTGCTCATGATTGTGGATCTATTTCTGCAATTGTAAATACTCTCCCTAAATCTACCTATTTCTATAAGCAGTACTGAGCACTGGAGATCTGTTTACTGGTGACTGGAATGCAACGGGATGACTTTGCCAGCCCTCTATTGAGGTTGTGATGTGGAGGATATGCAATGGAGGTCCTCCTTGTGTTTGTTGCAGCTTTGCTTACTAGTAGGACAGCACTGGAAATGTCTACTTGTTACAGCTCTATATAGCTACTGGCTGCTCAGCTAGTACATCAAGCTAGGAGATGCTATCTCACTATGTACCTATAACTGTGAGATTGCAGCCATTGAAATGATAAATACTGTATAATCACACTTATTACAATGGAATTAAAGATCTTAGATATTGTCACATTAAGGTGAAATTTCATCATAAATAATAGTCCTATTTTAAAATGTCATTTCTTCATTGGATTTTTTTGAGAGATGACAAATAATTATTTTAAATAGACACAGAAATAAATAACTATGAAGAATGACCGGACATGTTTCCTTTCTTTTTATAGACCATGTTTGGGAAGCCAAAACATATCATGGTAAGTAAATATTCATTATAGTCCTAGCACTGTCATTATTCTCCAATGCCTGTAGGCCTTTCAGGGTTTTTCTAGGAACAGAGACTTGCAAGTCTGACTGCCTGTGAGGGGTAAAAAAAATGAACAGTCATATTTATTATAAAATCTGTTTATGTGCTGTTCAAATATAAGGTCACAGAGTGGGCAAGGATCATAGAATAATAGAGTTGGGAAAGACCACATGGACCATCTAGTCTAACCTCCTGACATGCAGGAAAAGCACAATCAAAACACCCCCAACAGATGGCCATCCAACCTCTGTTTAAAAAGCTTCCAAGGGAGGAGCTTCCACCAGTCTATGAGGCAGAGTTCCACCATTGAATGGCTCTTACAGTCAGAATGTTCTTCCTAATGTTCAGGTGGAATCTCCTTTCTTGCAATTTGAACCCATTGCTCCAAGTTCTAGTTTCCAGGGCAGCAGAAAATAAGCCAGTCCCCTCTTTCTTGTGGGAACCAGAACAAAACCATTAGCCTCACCCTATGGATATATTTCCAAGTCCTACTTTGCTAATGTCTAGTCTAGTGAAGGTGCCTGTTTCAGTACCCAAATGGACAATCTGCATGTAACCAAACCCATTTCTCAGTTGTCATTGGAACAGAACCCATGAGATATACATCCAAAAGCAGTTTCATGAGAACAGAATTTGTTCACCTCAGAGATGCTGCTCTTCCTCGAGCAATGGGAAAAATGACCTCAGCTAAGAAATCTGCAAAAGGCACTATAGAAAAGAGATGGAAAGGATGGCTAGAATTCTCAGTTGTAGTCTATGTTATGTAACTTTATGTATAACTACTAGCTAGCTACACAGCAGTGACAGTAAAGAGCCTTGTTAGTAAATTGTGAAGGTGCATACCAGGAAAACTGAAAAGAGTGTTCCAATGTGCATTGGGCTCTATCAATGCACATCTAGACTTCCTAGGTGGTTTTCCAACATTAACTGGGTCACGTTGTGTATCAGGGTCCATTGTGCATTTGGTCCTAATGTATATCAGTCATAGGATCATAGAATCAGAGAGTTGGAAGAGACCTTGTGGGCCATCGAGTCATACCCCCTGCCAAGAAGCAGGAAAATCACTTCTTGGCAGGGGGTTGAACTGGATGGCCCACAAAGTCATGATATGGGTTGGTTACTTTGATGTTTCCCTGACATAATAACATAACATGATAAGGGACACAGCAAAACTGTTTGGTTCTATTTCTGGCAGAAGTAAGTACATTTGCTAAGATGTAAACCCCTAAGTGAATTCTGGGCAATATTTGTAATTATACTGTTCTAGCTCAAAATCCATGTTTTCCTGTTGGGAAAAATAATAAACCAGTGAAAAATTTCTCACACAATTTTCTCCCCATATTTGATTATTTTGAAATGTAGAAGAAGACTAATTCTGTCTAAACAATTACTGATTCTGTGGAGAAAATAATTTCCTTGGCAGGAAATATGGTTTCTTGTGTTGGAAATCTGTTTTCTACACAAATAATATTGTGTGTGTGGGGGGGGGGGGGTGCCCAAAGATAGATGTCTTCACATGTCCAATAGAGAGGCTGACACTTTATCTTCCCATTCTAGGCCATGTTCCCTATGTTTGGAGGAACCAGTGGTGGTGACAACGAGGATGATGGTGGACCAATGGTAAGCAACTATCCATTTCATACTTTCAGTGCTATTTTTTTACACACACACACACACAAAATAAAGAGAAGAAATCTTGATACACCCTTGATGCAATTATGACATAGCTTGTAACATTACTCAATGAACTCTAATTTATGTTCTAAACACCCAGCAAACTGAGGCACTATTTCAACACAAATGAGCATGTAAATAGGCTTATATCACTCCCCAAAATAGCACCCCTCGCCCACTTCCATTTTGGTGAGTATATTGATTAGGATGGGGTTGATTTATCATAGAAAAACTACCTATAATATTTGTTGTAAATCCTTTTGGAAGCAAAAAAAAATAACCCCTCCTATTTTCACTTGATTGACATAAATCTTTCTCTAGGTAACACCTCAAGGATCTGAAATTTTATCTGAAAGTAAGAAACTATGACTACGAGTAAAGTGGGACAAGATAGTCATGAGCTAGAATCCTCTCTATTTCAACTAGATTAGATCCATTGAATGTGAACATGTGGGTAAATTGCATTGGTCCAATGGTTCTAATACAACATACTTGGATTTAGTCCAATAGAATAGTTGATGAAGGAATACGGGGCTCAAAATTTCACAAAAGTATGTGGGAGGTCATAATTACAGCAAAAAAAAAAAAGATGAGAGCTGGAATGGTCAACTGTGGAAGGAAGGAAAGAAGGAAGGAAGGAAGGAATTTTTCCCTTACTGGAACTTTTTGTTCTTTCAAGCCTGTTAATGCCATCATCTTGTTCATGAGCTGTGCCATTTTAGCTACTAAGCACTGGTTTTATGTAAGTGACTATGACCTTTTTTCCCTTGTAGAAACTAGGAAGTCATTTTAGTAGATGGAGGTCACAGGTGAGTCATTCTTCTTGATCTACTTTTTTGAAAACTATTTTCTTGTAACAATTTCATGTTATTTCTGTGTTCTTTTTGTAAAGCACTGTTTTTTATTTGGCTTGAAGATGCTCTACAACAGTTGTTCTTAACCTTCTAATGCTGTGATAACTTAATACAGTTCTTCATGTTGTGGTGACCCCAAACCATAAAATTATTTTTGTTGCTACTTCATAACTGTTATGAATCATCATGTAAATATCTGATATGCAGGATGTATTTTCATTTGATGGACCAAATTTGGCACAAATACATGATACGCCCAATTTTGAATACCTGTGAGGTTGGGATGGATTGATTTTGTGATTAGGGAGTTGTATTGCTGGGATTTATAGTACACCTATAATCAAAGAGCATTCTGAACTCCACTAACGATGAAATTGAACCAAACTTGGGACACAGAGCTCCCATGACCATCAGAAAATAAGAGTTTGGTGGGCATTGATGGAGTTGTAGTTCACCTATATCCAGAGAGCACTGTGGATTCAAACAATGATGGATCTGGGCCAAACTTGGCATGAATACTCAATATGCACAAATGTGAACACTAGGGTACAATAGACCTTGACATTTGGGATTTGTAGTTACTGGGATTTATAGTTCACCTACAATCAAAGAGCATCCAGAACCCCACCAATGATAGAATTGGGCCAAACTTCCCACACAGAATCCCCTGACCAAGAGAAAATACTGTGTTTTCTGATGGTCTTTGGCGACCCCTCTGACACTCCCTCACAACCCCCACAGGGGTCGCGACTCCCAGGTTGAGAAACACTGCTCTACAACAACAGTAACAATCAAACATCCTGGAACATTGTGGGAAGACACATTGTGTGTGTGTAAAAAAAAAAACAACTTGTACCATATACCTGCTTTGTACAGAAAACGATTTGTGTTTTTCTACACAGAGTAATTCTTCTGTAACCCTTCAAATATACAGATAATATTATGGCAGGGGAAAAGTAATGTAGTTTCATGTCTTCACATTCCTTTGGCCAGATTGTCCCAATACTTTAGCTATCTAATCTATGCAGTATTTTATGTGGTTAATTGAAGTTTTAAGTGCATACAATGCTAGAAAAGATGAGACTGATGAAAAAGTTCAACAGGTTGGCATAATTCTTATGGGGGTATTTATTCCACCACTACCTTGCCCACAGACATACTGACATCATACTACTGTGGCAACCATTTCCCCCACATAAATTAGGAGGCACACCAAATTCCAGTAGAAGGTCTCTTGTTTCAGGCTTGTTATCTGCAATGAAGAATGCATGCTATGATTTTTTCCCCTCCTCTTCTCTTTATAGGGTGGAAAAAGGAGAAGAGGCAAGGTATGCTTTCAAGAACCATTATGCTTACTTTCAGATCTTCAGTTTAGATGTGAGGTGTCAAAGAGAAATGTGAGCACAGGAAGACTGACAAAATGAAACAAAACTAACAAACTGAAGTTCAACAGGGGCAAATGCAAAATACGCCACTTAGGCAGAAAAATTCAAATGCATAGATACAGAATGGGGGACGCCTCGCTCAATAGCAGTACGTGGGGAAAAGATCTTGCAGTTTTTGTGGACAACAAGTTAAACATGGGTCAACAATGCCATGCGATGACAAAAAAGGCCAATGGGATTTTGGCCTGCATAAATAGGAGTATAGTGTCTAGATACAGGGAAGTAATGCTACCCCTCTATTCTGCCTTGGTCAGAGCACACCTGGAGTCACACTTTGTCCAATTAAAGGGAGATGTTGGCAGGCCGGAATGTATTCAGAGTAGAGCAACTCCAATCATCAAGGGTCTGGAGAACAAGCCTTTCTGGCTGTGAGAGCTGTTCAGCAGTGGAACTCTCTGACCTAGAGTGTGGTGGAGGGTCCTTCTTTGGAGACTTTTAAGCAGAGGCTGGATGGCCATCTGTCAGGGATGCTTTGAATGCAACTTTCCTGACAGGGAGTTGGACTGGATGGCCCAAGAGGTCTCTTCCTCTTGCGCCATCCAGGAGAAGAATAGAGAAATATGGGTCTTGGGCCATCTTGGGCCATCTAGGAGAAGAATAGAGAAATCACTGATGATGCTTTCCACTTTGCCCTTGAGCACCTTAAAAGAGACAAAATATGGTTAGGATATTCTGATTGTATCAATTCATAGAAGGAAGTAGCCAGAAATGAGGCAGCTCTGGCAATATCACTTTTCCTGGTCGGTGAGATTTGGGCCCTTCGACAATAGCATATAATATGCTCTGCCCAACTTACTGGGTGGAGAGGTTGCGGGATGGGTGTCCTCCACCCGCCATGGTGCCGGTGGGAATGAAGCGAGCTTCACCTTCCCAGAAGCCCTCCTTGTGCAGCTGGTAAGTTTCCCACCAACACCCTTGCCGCCCCCCCTCCTCCCCCGGCTGCAACAGGCAGCCTTCATAAGACCACACCACGCTGCTTGCGGGCAGCACGCCTTCAGATTATCAAGGCAGATAAATAATAATAATAATAATAATAATAAAACTTTATTTATATACCACCCTATCTCCCCTAGAAGACTCAGAGCAGTTTCCACATATGCAAAAATACAAAACACATACAATGTGAAACATAAAACATAAGCATATACAATTAATACAACATATCTATTAAAATCAATTTAGAAGCCAATTCCACTCTCTTCTTTCATGCAAGGTAAGCTACTAGGGCCAAAAGAGCCTAAGCTGTTGGGCGGGCTGGGTTGAAGCTAGTGCAGAGAAAAGGGAAGCATGGGACCAACAGGAGCCAGACTCAGTAATGGCCGTACTGGGGGGCCGGAGCCACTCATTTCCAGGGCCAATTGAAAGACTATTTGAAGGGTCTGCGCCGGAAGAGATAGTACTCTCAAATGGCCCAGAGTAGATGGATGGAGTGCAAGGCCAAGTCCTAACTGTTGGGCAAGGGCTTGGAACTTGAGACTAGTCAATTTTCAAAGGCCTGATGAAACCACCAAGTTCTTATGAGAAGATGTAAGTAATGGAGCCTGCCTTATCTCCTTGGGAAGGGCATTCCAGAGGCAGGGGGCCACCACTGAGAAGGCCCTTTCCCTTGTCCCCACCAACTTAAGACAGAGGTGGGAGCGAGAGGAGGGCCTCCCTGGTAGATTTTACAATCTGAGCCAGTTCATAGAGGGAGATGTGATTGCAAAGATAGGCGGGGCCTGAATTGTGAAGGGCTTTATAGGTCATCACCTGCACCTCATTTCTGGCACCTTGAATTTGGCTCGGCAATGTATCGGCAACCATTATCAGTTTTGAACTGGTTTATCTGAGTCTATAATCCAGTTCAAAGCAGATAATCTGGATTTTATACAGCTTTGTAGAAGGGGCCTTCATCATTCTCACTCAACAAAAAAAAAAAATCTTCCTCACTTGAGGTATGGCAAGATATTTGCCAAGAGTTCTCATATTTTTTCTACAAACTTACCATGACACAAAATGATAATAGTGATCTAACGCTGAAGTGCATTTTCTTGTTGTGTTGATTAGAAGTGCTTTGCTTCACAGCAAGAATACAGTAGATAGCCATTTTGTGTCAAGACCTGTTTGTGTGTATCACACAAACCTCGACCCAAAACAAAGTGCTCCATGTTTCATTCCGACCTTGGAAAAAAACAACTATTTCGTGATTTATCAGCAAGATGCCATGAAAGATCAAAAATGCCACAATCCCACAAAGGAGCTCAGGCCAATGTTTCCAACATTTTCAGAAACCAAGGAATCATTTTGGCTGTTTTCTTTCTCTTTTAGGGTGGAAAACGTTGGCAGGATGGGAAAAAGGTAAAGCTGAATCATAGGAGAATAATACCAGCACTCCCTAACTATTTTGGGGAATATGATAGGACCTTTGCTTTCATTATGGATGTAAAGGGTAGGGGTGGCTATCAGGTGCCCCTGAATAAATGGTTGGATTGTACTCCCATCAACATCATTGGCTATGCTCACTAGGTCTGCTAGGATTTATGGTGAAGTGACATCTGGAGAACTCCACACTTCAGCTGAGGGGGAGTTTCAGATGGAACTTTTATTCAGTCTTATTGTTTTATCTCCAGAGTTAATGCTGACTTTTAAAATGTTTGACATTTATTGCAGGGAAAGAAACCTAAAGAAGAGCCAGAAGAGGTAAGTATCAAATGAAGGTTTTGACTCTTGCCCTCTCCCCATAAAATGAATGAGCACTGTCTTTAAGGTCTCTGGTTATCCAGAATTTGCTCTAGATTAAGCACTTTGTCAAACACCAGTGCAGAAATAATAAAAAGACACATATTCATCACAATCAAAAATGAAGCGGAGCTAGGAGTCTTGTGATGGAAATATTAAGGTGGTACCTTGGTGATTTTGTGTGTGTGTGTCAGGAGCAAGTTGAGAAACTGCAAGTCCTTTCTGGTGTGAGAGAATTGGCCATCTGCAAGGACATTGCCCAAGGAACACTCAGATGTTTGATATTTTACCATCTTTGTGGGAGGTTTCTCTCATGTTCCTGCATGGGGAGCTGGAGCTGACAGAGAGAACTCAACCCGCTCTCCCTGGATTTGAACTGCTGTCAGTCAGCAGTCCAGCTGGCACAAATAATAATATAATAATAACTTTTTTTACCCTGCCTCCATCTCCCCAAGGGGATTCAGGGTGGCTTACAAAGGGACATGCCCAACAAAATTGGTTAAAATAAGCATCAAAAACAAGCAACATCAAACATTAATAAATATAAAATCAGACAACATAATAAAAATGATTAAAAGCTAACATGGCTGAACAAATAAAGTACTGGGTTTGGTTCATAATTACTAAGTGCAATGAATCCTAAGAAGAGCCAGGGAGAGTTCAACAATCAGAGGGCTGGGCTAGGAGGCAAATGTCTTTAGGCTGTTAAAGTGTTAAAGTGTCAGAAAGGGACCACGTTAAAGTGCAGGAGCTGGATAGATTGGGAAATTCTGTGGTGAACTGCCTAATCAAAGGCACAAAGGAACAGCTAAGTTTTTAATTCCTTGCGAAAATGGAGAGAGTGGGAGCTTGACTGATCTCCCTGTGGAGGGAGTTTCAGAGCTGAGGGGCCACCACAGAGAAGGCCCTTTCCCATGTCCCCACCAACCGAGCTTGTGAGGGCAGTGGAAGTGAGGGAAGAGCTTCCCCAGATAATCTTAAAGTACATGCTGGTTCATAGGGGAATATGTGATCACAAGGATAGCCAGGTCCTGAACCGTTTATAGCAGTGGTTCTCAACCTGGGGTCCCCAGATGTTTTTGGCCTTCAACTCCCAGAAATCCTAAAAGCTGGTAAACTGGTTGGGATTTCTGGAAGTTGTAGGCCAAAAACATCTGGGGACCCCGGGTTGAGAACCACTGGTTTAGAGCTTTATAGGTGATAACTTGCACTTTTTATTGGGACCGAAAACTTATGGGAAGCCAATGGAGCTGTTTGAAGAGGGGGGGTTGACCACTCCTTGTAACTAGCTCCAGTTAGTAATCTGGCTGCAGATATTTGAACCAACTGTAGTTTCCAGGCCGTCTTCAAAGGCAGCCCCACATAGAGTGCATTGCAGTAATCTAATCTGGAGGTAATTAGGGAACACCATGGCCAAGTCAGACTTCACGAGATACTGGCGCAGCTGGCACACAAGCTTTAATTGTGCAATGGCCCTCCCAGCCATCACCAACACCTGGGCATCAAGTGTCAAAGCGGAGTGCAGAAGGACCCAAAGACTGTGGATTTAACATGTGAATATGAGTAGATCAATAGGTACCACTTCGTGGTGGTTTCAGAAAACTTGTTCATCGTTGGCAGAAATATATCCAATTGTCTGGTGATTATGTGGAAAAGAGAATAGTGGTAGTTAAAGAGCACATTCTAAGGATTATTTCTGCGTTTGATTTATTAACAATATTCCCATCCAAACCCAAGTAACGAAGGTGGAGGCATTACTTCTTATTCAACCCTCATAATTTGCTGGTGGTGGTCCTGCATGCTCAAACATACTAAAAGAACTGTTTCCTTAATGAAGGCTTTGCTTCCATTTCAAACAAACAAAAAAATAATTGTTCATTTCTGTTTTGCTTTTTTAAAGGATGCGGCTGATGATCCTACTGAGGTGAGTGTGTACTAGAATCAGTTAATATTTCAAATTATAGAACGTACGTAATTCTTTTGAAAGTGTTATTTCCTGTTTAATTGTGCTGTGCGTACCTTTAAAAGTAGTTGTTATATTCCAGAAGTTTTGTTTTTGTGTCTGCCACATGTTGAATTGGTTGAGACTCTGTGAGATATTTATTGAAAAGCTATAGCAAAATGTGCTGCAGAATGTCGCAGCACAAACAAAGGATTTGCAGTTTAACAAACTTTTTCCAATTAGATAGAACCAATTAGATAATGACATTTATAACCCAGAAACAAAACTGGTGTTACATAGTGTTATTCAGTAGGTAAAAGCCAAAGATGGGGCTGTAGTGGTACATTGGGTTTAATCGCTAAACTGCATAACTTGCTGATTGGAAGATCAGCGGTTCGAATTTGATGGATAGGGTGAGCTCCCCTCCCCTAGCTTCTGCCAACCTAGCAATTTGAAACCATGCAATTGTGAGTATATCAATAGGTACCACTTTGGCGGGATGGTAACAGCACTCCATGCAGTCATGCTGGCCACATGACCTAGGAGGTGTCTATGAACAATGCCGGCTCTTCAGCTTAAAAATGGAGATGAGTACCAACCCCCAGAGTTGGGCATGCCTAGACTTAATGCCAGGGGAAAAATTTTGTCTTTACCTTACTATTTCAAATGAAAGAAAAAACCTTTTTAACAAGGAGACACTATGAATTTATATTTATTAATTTGTTTAGTTTTTATTATATATTATGTTTTAAATTATATTTTTGATATTGTAAAAATTGAATTTTACCCTGTTAACCACCTTGAGTTGCCTACGGACTGAGAAAGGTGGTATACAAATACAGTAAATGAATAAAAAAATAATCCAATCTGGAGGTAACTAGGGCATGGAACACCATGGCCAAGTCAGACTTCACGAGATACCGGCGCAGCTGGCGCCAGGCCCGTAGCCAGGATTTCGATTCGGGGGGGGGGGGGTGAGTTTTTTTCAGGGGGGGGGGGGGGGGGGGGGGGGGGGGCTGAGTCTGAGTGAAAGAGGGTCTACCCTAGCAAACTTTTTGTATCATTATCCCAATACCCCCATGCATGTGGGATATATTGAGCATGGGAATCAGATCATGATATGAATAAACATAACAGTTTAAATATTGTACCAGTAAGGCCTTTTGCGAACCACCATGAGAATTTCGGGGGGGGGGGCTGAAGCCCCTCAAGCCCCCCCCCCCCCCGGCTACATGCCTGGCTGGCACACAAGTTTTAACTGTGCAAAGGCCCTCCCAGCCACCGCCGATACTTGGGCATCAAGTGTCAAAGCAGAGTCCAGAAGGACCCAAAGACTGCGGGTTTAACATACGAATATGAGTAGATCAATAGGTACCACTTTGTAACGGCTTCAGAAAACTTGTTCATCCAATTGCCTGGTGCTTACGTGGAAAAGGGAATAGTGGTAGTTAAAGAGAACATTATAAGGATTATTTCTGCGTTTGATTTATTAAAATATTCCCATCCAAACACAAGTAACGAAAGTGGAGGCATTACTTTTTATTCAACCCTCGTAATTTGCTGGTGGTGGTCCTGCATGCTCAAACACCCTAAAGGTACTATTTCCTTATTGAAGGTTTTGCTCTCATTTCCAACAAACAAAAATAATTGTTTTGCTTTTTTAAAGGATGCGGCTGATGATCCTACTGAGGTGAGTGTGTACCAGAATCAGTTATTATTTCGAATTACACTATGTATGTAATTGTTTTGAAAGTGTTATTTCCTGTTTAATTGTGCTGTATGTACCTTTGAAAGTAGTTGTTATGTTCCAGAAAATTTGCTTTTGTGGCTGCCACATGTTGAATTGGTTGAGACTCTGTGAGATATTCATTGAAAAGCTATAGCAAAATGTGCCGCAGGATGTCCCACAAAAAGAAAAGATTTGCAGTTTAAAAACCTTTTTCCATGTTTTTATTATAGAACCAATTAGATAATGACATTTATAACCCAGGAACAAAACTGGTGTTACATAGTGTTATTCAGTAGGTAAAAGCCAAAGATGGGGCTGTAGTGGTACATTGGGTTAAATCGCTAAGCTGCATAACTTGCTGACTGGAAGATCAGTTCAAATCTGAGAGATGGGATGAGCTCCCATCATTAGCCCTAGTTTCTGCCAACCTAGCAGTCTGAAAACATGCAAATGTGAGTAGATCAATAGGTACCACTTTGGCAGGAAGGTAATGGCACTCCATGCAGACATACTGGCCACATGACCTAGGAGGTGTCTGTGGACAACGCTGGCTCTTTGCCTTAGAAATGAAGATGAGTACCAACCCCCAGAGTCAGGCACCATTAGACTTAATGCCAGGGGAAAACTTTATCTTTACCTTACTATTTCAAATGAAACTAAAAAAAACCTCTCAGGGTAATCTTGTCTATGAAGTTGGTAAGCCTACATCAAATTTAAGGGCATCTTTTAGTTTTTTAGTCCTTACATAGAGGTATTATTTTAAGAAGTGAATCAAAACTGCTTCTATTTCCATCTGCCTGCATGACAACGTTGCTGGAATATGCGATGTCTCCCCCTCATCTCTCCTCTTCTCCTGTTTCAGTGGGAAAGGTGAACTCCGAGTCTTGAGGGGTTTGCGTCTGTCCCTTTCCTTTCTGAAAAGTATTTCTCAACTCCATGTGGTTGATTAAACCCCCCAGGGACATCCCAGTGCTCAGCCAGCTCCCTAAGACACTGCTCACAGCTCCATTTTCTTCAACAATAGTGTGCCTTTGTTGATTTTTACAATATATTTGCTCATGTGCGATCTTGGTCACTGACTATTGAATTAGCAGGGATGTTGATGTCATCAGCCACTTTGAGTCCACTTGGGGGGAGAAAAAGCAGGATAATAATAATAATAATAATAATAATAATAATAATAATAATAATAATAATATGTCTAACTGAATCCTTCTGGCTTCCTCTTGACCTTATCTTTAAGCTTCACAACAGATTGGATGGTGGGTAGTATGGATTTTCCAAGCAATTCTTTTAATTACATACCCATTAGTAAGTCAGCCTATCTATTTTTTATTGATGCAGAAACTGGTATTCACTTCTTCCTTTTACACTGACCAAAGCTTTCCAGATATATGAGAGTTTCTGCAGTACCTTGCCATGGTCATCTTATGCTCAGAGAAAAACAGTTAGAATCAGAAAATCTTTTGGCTATGTTCCTGTAGCAATACATGAAAATATTACCTTATCCACTGAGATCGATCTCAACAAAAGATGTAATCATTTTATGTCTGGATATGGAGATCAATCCAGATGCTTTAGAGATCCCTCACCATATTCAATGTCTGGGGCAGGGGGAGCATGCAGATTGGATGGTGAGAAGTATGGATTTTCCAAGCAATTCTGTTAATTGTATACCCATTAGTAAATTAGCCTATCTATTTTTGGTTGGTCCAACTGAATCCTTCTGGCTTTCTCTTGACCTTATCTTTAAGCTTCACAAAAACTGGTAATCCCTTCTTCGCTTTCCACTGACCAAAGTTTTCCAGACATATAAAGAGTTTCTGCAGTACCCTGCCATGGTCATCTTAGGCTCAGACAAAAACAGTTAGGAACAGTTAGGATCAGAAAAGCTTCTGGCTATGTTCCTGTAGCAATACGTGAAACACCTCAACAGATTTCAAAAAAAGACACAATCATTTTATGTCTGGATATGGAGATCAGTCCAGATGCTTCAGAGAACCCTCACCATATTCAATGTCTGGGGCGGGGGAGTCTAAACCTATTCGGTTTTCAGAAGACCTGCTGCTAGTGAGTATGAAAACTGATACAATTGGGTTGGATGATGGGGAGCTCCCTGAAGACATGCACTTAAAGTCTGCCTTTAAAAATTCCAGTGATATTTCTAATTGCAAATGCATAGAGCTAAATAGCTTTTGAAATGTTTCATATATTTTTCTTTCTCACCTGCAAAAGATATGCATTCATTATATGAAAGAGGATAAGAAACAAAATAACTTCATCTGTGCTTTTCCTCACAACAGGATGAAGTTGAGGAGTAAAGGGAATACATGGTAAGCATTTCCAGCTGGTTTTTAGCCAGATAAATTGTGTTGATTTCTGATAAAGAAATTCAGAAATTGTGGTTTCACATGGAGAATAATAATAATTTTTTGTGTGTGTCAGGAGCAACTTGAGAAACTGCAAATCGCTTCTGGTGTGACAGAATTGGCCATCTGCAAGGATGTTGCCCAGGGGAAGCCACAATGTTTTTTTGTTTTGTTTTGCAATCCTTGTGGGAGGCTTCTCTCATGTCTCCTCACGGGGAGCTGGAGCTGACAGAGGGAGCTCATCCACACTCTCCCCAGATTTCGAACCTGCGACCTGTCGGTCTTCAGTCCTGCCAGCACAAGGGTTTAACTCACTGCTCCACCGGGGGCTCCTGAATAATAATAATAATTTCTTACCTGCCTTATCACACAGTTCGAGGCAGGTTACACATTGCTAAAGCTCATAATCAAAACACATAATTATTTAAAAACACTCCATAGAACAACACATATTAAAACATATTTCTATAAAATACATATTAAAACACAAGAAAAAGGTTAGACATAGAGGGAAAGTTTGAAATTCATCATTAAAACTGGGTAGGCCTGCCGGAAGAGATAGGTCTTCACTTGTGTCTTAAATTCCAACAGCTGACCTAGCTATTGGAGCTCTACTGGCAGGTCATTCCACAGTCATGGGGTGGCTGATGAAAAGGTCCTCTGGGTGCCAGTCAGGTCCTGTCATTCTGGAGCAAATCACCCCCCCCCCCCCAGAAGACTTCAGTGTTCAGGGTAGATTGTACAGGAGACTGTGATCCTGTGGGTAACCTTAACCCAAACCATGTAGGACTTGAAAGGTCAATACCAACACCTTATACTTTGCCTGGAAACTAATTGGCAATTAGTGAAGTGGCTGGAGGGGCTGGGAATCAGAGGCACTGCACTGCAGTGGTTCTGATCATACCTCTCAGGTAAGTTTGAGATGGTGGTGCTTGGGAATAGCTGCTCCTCAAAAAAGGAGCTGTTATGTTGTGTTCCACAAGGTGCCATTCTCTACCCAATGCTCTTTATTATTTACATGAAGCTGCTGGAAGAGATCATCCATAGGCATGGAGCGGGTTATTATTAGTATGCTGATGACACCCAAATATATTTCTCCATGCCTTCAAAAACAGCTTCAGCTAAGGATAGTGTGTCTCCTCTGAATCAGTACCTGGATTAATAGGCTGAATTAGGAAAAACAATTGAAACTGAATCCAGACAAAACATAGATGTTCCCCATCAAGGATCCTAATCATGGGGTGGAGGTGTGTCAACCAGTTCTGTGTGGGGTTACACTCCCCCCTCGAAGGACTGAGTTTGCAGTTTGGGAGTGCTCCTGAATCTGTTTCTCCAAATGTCAGTCCAAGTAGCTTCAATGGTCAAGAGTGCTTATTTATTTATTTATTTATTTACTTTATTTGTATACCGCACTCTCTCAGCCCGTAGGCGACTCAGTGCGGTTTACAACCAGGTCAATATACAAGTGCACAACAATAGTAGTAGCATTTAAAAAACAGTAACTAAAGCAACTAAATCACATAGCAAAACATCAGTATAACAATATAACAACAATACATCCATATAACTAATCCATCACATCTCATCAATAAAGTCATAATCCGATCTCCTCGTCTATTATTCCAAGTTCCAAGTTCCAATCTCAATCAATTGATTGCACTGCTTAATTAAACGCCTGTTCAAAGAGCCAGGTCTTCACTCTTCTCCTGAACGCCAGCAAGGAGGGGGCCGATCTGATGTCTGTGGGAAGGGCGTTCCACAGCCGAGGGGCCACCACTGAGAAGGCCCTGTCTCTCATCCCCGCCAGCCGTGCCTGCGAGGCTGGCGGGATCGAGAGCAGGGCCTCCCCGGACGATCTTAATGTCCTAACTGGTTCATAGGGGGTGATGCGTTCGGACAGATAGGTCGGGCCAGAACCGTTTAGGGCTTTAAAGGCTAAAGCCAGCACTTTGAATTGTGCCCGGTAGCAAACTGGCAGCCAGTGGAGCTGGCGCAACAGAGGAGTGGTGTGCTCCCTGAGTGCCGCTCCCGTTAGCAACCTGGCTGCCGCCCGCTGGACCATCTGAAGCTTCCGAGCAGTCTTCAAAGGCAACCCCACGTAGAGAGCGTTGCAGTAATCTATACGGGATGTAACCAGTGCGTGGACTACCGTGGCCAAGTCAGACTTCCCAAGGTACGGGCGCAACTGGCGCACAAGTTTTAATTGTGCAAATGCTCCCCTGGTCACCGCCGAAACCTGGGGTTCCAGGCTCAGCGATGAATCCAGGATCACACCCAAGCTGCGAACCTGCGTCTTCAGGGGGAGTACAACCCCGTCCAACACAGGCTGTAACCCTATACCCTGTTCGGCCTTGCGACTGACCAGGAGTACCTCTGTCTTGTCTGGATTCAATTTCAATTTGTTCGCCCTCATCCAGACCGTTACAGCGGCCAAGCACCGGTTCAGGACTTCGACAGCCTCCTTAGTAGCAGGTGGAAAGGAGTGACAGAGTTGGACATCATCTGCGTACAGATGACACCGTACCCCGAAACTCCGGATGATCTCACCCAACGGCTTCATGTAGATGTTAAACAACATAGAAGACAAGATGGAACCCTGAGGAACCCCACAAGACAATGGTTGTGAGGTAGAACAGGTGTCTCCCAATAACACCTTCTGAGATCAACCCTCTAGGAAGGACCGGAGCCACTGCAGAACAGTTCCTCCAAGGCCCATTCCCGCGAGGCGTCCCAGAAGGATACCGTGGTCGACGGTATTGAAGGCCGCTGAGAGGTCCAGCAGCACCAACAGGGACACACTCCCCCTGTCGAGCTCCCGGCGTAGATCATCCACTAAGGCGACCAAGACTGTCTCAGTTCCATGTCCCGGCCTAAAGCCAGACTGCGCCGGATCCAGATAATCCGTGTCGTCCAAGAATACCTGGAGTTGTGAAGCCACCACACGTTCCAAGACTTTGCCCAAAAAGGGGAGATTGGAAACTGGCCGAAAGTTGTCGAATTGAGTGGGGTCCGGTGATGGTTTTTTCAACAGCGGTTTTATTACAGCTTGTTTTAAGCTTGCTGGAATGTTGCCTTCCCGAAGGGAGGCATTAACCACCACCGTTACCCACTCGGCCAATCCCCCTCTGGCTTGCTTTAAAAGCCAGCATGGACAGGGGTCTAGAATGCATGTGGTAGGCCTCATCCCTCCCAATATCTTGTCCACATCCTCGGGTTTCACCAATTGAAATGAATCCATCAAAACCGGGCAAGCAGATGCTCCAGCTACATCCTCAGAGACTGCCGTTAATATGGCATCCAGCCCAGAACGGATCAAAGCGACTTTGTCCGCGAAGAACCGAGCAAAAGCTTCACAGCGGGCTACCGAGTTGTCAGGGCTCCCATCCTGAGTGGTGGGGT